GGGCCCGGCCCCGCCCCTGCCTTGCTGGTGCAGCCCAGCCATTAAGCTCCCTGTCCAAGCCCCGGTGGGACCGGGGTCCCAGGGCTGAGGGCGCCTCTCGGACGCTCTGCCGGGCTGCGCACCACTCAGATCGCCTGGGAGGCCCCTCCTGCTGGCTCCACGGGGACAAAAGCACCTGCTGACCCTCGCGGTCCAGGAGCCAATGAAACAGGCCCCGGCGCTGCCCTCGGGACCGCCAGGCAGAGAACACGCAGCTGCCGCCGGGATGCAGGTGCTCGGGGCGCCCTCCTGTCTGGGCCGGGTGTTTACGCCAAGGCTCAGAGGAGACGGGGCCCAGCCCAGGGAAGAGGAGAGCAGGCACAATGGTGTTCCGCAAATCCGTGGTTTAGGGACTGTTTGTTGGCCCATTTCGCAGGTGGGCAAACCGAGGATCCCAGTGTGTGATTAATTTGCCCGTGGTCTTCTGGCCAGGAGGTGGGGTGCTGGCCGTGCCGCTGAACACTGCTGCACGAGGGGGTGTGGCACCCCACCCTTACCTGGGGCGTGTGGATAGGGATGGGGTGTGAGTCGAGCCCCGGGTCTTGCTCTCAGCTCCTACCCTCTGGTGTCTTTGGCACAGACCCTCCCAGGAGCACCAGTCACTGGTGGTGGCAGTGCTGGCCATGAGGCCGCGGCCCACGTGCTGGGGACCGAGGGCGGGGTCCCCCGTTTGGCTGGCTCCTCCCCTTCCAGACCGTGTGTGTGTGTGTGTGTGTGTGTGTGTGTGTGTGTGTGTGCTGTCCTCTCGCTGCTTTGCCGAGGGCGAGGGGAGCAGACCCGGGACCCGGCTGCTGTGGGAGAGCCCGGGAGCCAGCAGAGATGGGTCCCTGCGTGGGGTGGCCTCAGACTGTACCTGCCACCCCGGGGGCTTTTCCAGCGCAGCGTGTGCATTGCCCCCGTGCCTACGCTGTCCTGGGGAGGCGAGGGGGCTCCCCTCCCACAGGTGGGGCAGCACTGGGTGCAGGCCGGGCCTGGGTCTGCGGCCCCGGGGGTGACATGACAGGAGGACCAGGCTCTGCTGCCTGGCAGCGATGGGGAGACGTGGCAGTCCTGGTGATGGCGGTGACAGTGAGGGCAAGGCCATGGCGGCGGCAGGAGGCAGTGGGGCCAGCCATGCGCTGCCGTGAGAGGGGGCAGCAGCCAGCGCTGGTCGTGAGAGCAGTGACACTGGTGACAGCGGCCGTGATCACAGTGGCCCCGGCCTCCCCTCTGCTCCAGGGCACCTGATCTCTGACCGCCACGGGCGGGGGGGAGGGGCTTGGTTTGCTGAGGCCCAGGCCTTCTCCCAGCTGTGAAGAGGTAGGGCCAGGGTTCACATCAGAATCTCGTCAGCCAGACGCCCTGTGAGCCCCTCATCCAAGCCGGTGGGTCTCAGCCCCGCCCATCGGGGGTCTGGGGCTGGGGGGTGGGGCCGGGTTTGTTTTGCTCTTTGACCCCTCCCCCAGGTCAGGCTGGTTCTCCCACCTGAGTGCTCCTAAGCTTCTAGCAGGTTCCCTGGTGCTGCCGCCGCGGGCCCGGGGGCCCCACTCTGCGAGCCAGGGTCCCTCCTCTTCTGTCCCTGGCCCTGCGGGATCCGCGTTCTCGGGACCCCGCCCCCAGCCCGTGTGCGGAACGCTCTGTTCTGGTCTGGCCCCTGAGCTAATCCAGCGTCCAAACTTGCCCCCAGTTACATAAGCGTTGCCTAAGGCCCAGAAGAAACTAGCGGTGCTGCCCCCCCAGAACCCCCGCCGGCTGCTCCCAGGATGTCAGCGCTGGCCGCTTCCCTGGCCCCGGAATTCCCGGAGCAGCTGCCGAAGCCTCAGGCAGGCCCCTCGTGCCCAGGGCGAGCCCCAGCCCAGCAACACCCCTCCTCCCCAGCGGCTGGCCCAGGGGGTGGAGCCGTGACCCTGCACATCTGGGCTGCAGCAGCTGTCCAGTGGCCTCAGGGGGCAGTGAGGGGGCGGCTGCTCCCTCAGGCTGAACCTGTGCCCTTCCACCACCCGGTCCCTGTGACACAGCCCCCTCCCCGGCCCAGGCCGGCCTCACAGCAGGTGCTGGGGCCCCGAACCCCGAATCCCTTGCTCACCCACCCTCCTGCGAGGCCGCCAGTGCCCGGGGCTGCAGGCGGGGTCTTGATAAGCAGAGGTGCTTTACTTTTTAAAAAAGGATTTGCTTATTTCTTTATTTGTTTACTTTTATTTGAAAGGTAGAGTTAGAGAGAGAGAGAGAGAGATATCTTCCATCTGTGGGCTTGCAACAGCCAGGCTGGGCCACGCAGAAGCCGGGAGCCAGGAGTCAGGAGCCAGGGGTCTCCGTGGGTGCAGGGGCCCAGGGCCTCGGGCCGCCCTCAGGGGCCTTCCCAGGCACATGGAGCAGCCGCTTTACGCATCCCGGGGCTGTGGTATCGGGTGCCGGCGTCACACGCAGCGGCTGAGCCCGCTGTACCGCGACGCCAGCCTCCACAAAGCTTAGTTTGAAAATGGAACTAAAAAGCCAGTTTGTTTTGGTGCCAAAAAAAAAATCTTTGAAACCCAGGGACGGCCTTTGCACAGCCATCATCTTGGTGCCCTTCACACGGAGGGCCAGGTGGGGGCTGCAGCCCCGGCGTGGCGCCCTCTCACAGGTCAGGGGCCCTGGGGGTCTCTTCCCTCCCCCTCCCCCAGCTGCCTGGGCCCTGGCGGCCCTGCCCCCTCTCATGACTCCCCCTCCTCTGCCTGGAGGTCGCCTGCTGTAGGATTTCAGGCCCAGGCTGCTCGCATTGGCGTCTGTCCTTAACCACAGCCGCAGAGAGCCTTCTCCAGTGGGACCGCCGCCCGGCTCCCGCGGCCCACCCCTCACAGCTACCCAGCAGCCCCAGCAGGGCACGTGCGGGTACCGGCCTGCGGAATCAGCTCGCAAGCAAAGCGAACAGGGCAGGCGGGCGCTGGGGTTCACGGCCACCCCCGCAGGGGCTGCAGGCCGTTCCAGGCACTGGGCCGGGGGCGGGCTCTGCTCTGCAGCCAGGCACAGCGCCGGAGCCGTGGGGAGTTTCCAACGGCCCCAAACTGTTTTGTGTCTGTAGGCACCGGGCCGTCCTCACACGGCTACCCACCCGCCCCTGCCTCTCCCCGACTCCTTCCCACTGGAGCCGCTCTCCCCAGGATGGCCGTCTGGTCCCTGGTCGTCAGTGTCACTGACCTGTCGGAAACACCCAGCCCCACCCCTCCCCCACCCCAGTCTTCAACCCTCGCACCTCCTGAGCTCCAGTCTATGGAGCCGACTGGCCGCTGGCCGTCTCTAGGCCTCAGCCACCTGGGCTGCAGGAAGCCCGCCTCTCGCCTGCCCGAGCTGTCTTTGCTGTGGCCCTGCAGTGAAGGTGGGGTGGCTGTGACCTTGGGAGGCCGCAGCCCTCAGCACGAGGTGGGCACTCGGAGGTGGAGAGCAGCCTGGGAGGCAGGATGCCGGCTGTGCTACGCTCCCCTCTGGGCAGGGGCGCCCAGGACTGGGAGGCAGGGCCGAGGCCAGCTGGCCCAGGCTGGGGGTCTCAGGCTCTTACGAGGACCCTCCCCTTTCTTTCTTGGTCCGTGCAGCTGAAAGGCAAGGCCGTGAGCTGCGCTGTTTCTTTGTAAATCTCCCCCAGGAGAGGAGATGCAGGGCGGTGAGCACTGGGCGTGGGGAGCACTTGTCCAGGGGCTCCGGCCTGTGCCACGGGAGGCGCAGAATTGCCCGCCACTAGGGGGCGGCAGAGCACTGGGGACCGAGGCGTGGAGAGCAACAAGGGGTCAGAACAAAGGCCGCCTCCCACCCGAGGGCAGCCCCTCCTCTTCCTGCCAGGGGCCCAGCTGCCCCCTGGATGGGACACCCTCGGGAGCCCGAGGTCAGGCCACACACAGGGTCGAGGTCCTTTCGGGAAGGAGGCGTGGCGTGGAGGGGCGTGTCCTGTGCAGGCCACGAGCTGAGCCAGGCAGCCGCGGGGTCGTGGTGGGGAGAGGAGTCGGCCGTCACCTCCCAGGAAAACGGCCTTGGGGCTCCAGGTCGCTGCTGTGAGCTTCCCCGCTGCTTCTCGGAGGTTTCTGGACGCCAGGGAGAGGCTGCCCGCGGGGAGGGGCGTCCACAGCCTAGATTCACACCTGGCTGAGCTCGGCTGCTGGCAGACATATCAGACACGCAGCCTGCCGGGGCCACGCGGGCTCTGACTTCCGCAGACAGGGCTTCTGGCATGGCCGCACCAACACGAGGGCAGGGCGCACTGGAGAGAGCACAGGACAGGGGCAGCCTGTGGACAGGCTGCTGTGTGTGTGTGCTTGCTCGCCCTGCCCGGCGGCTGGGGGCTGTCGTGGGCACTCAGCGCCGGCCGGGGTCGGGGCCGCTCTCAGGGGGACCCACTAGCTGTGCTCTGTGCAGAGAATCCCAGCCCTCAGCAAACCTTGGTCACCCGGAGGCGCCGGCGGCCCCGGGGACCCCTGCAGGGCGCCCCCTCACTCGCCCTTGACTATCTGCCCCCAGATCCTGGCCACAGGCTCTGCCCCCAGGGACCCGACCTAAAACACAGGACAGAAGGGCCCAGGGGAACGCGGGACCAGTCTGCCTCTCCGAGCTTTCCCTGGCTTGTCAACAGGTGTGGGAATTTTCGGGGGGGGGGTCCTTTCCTGAAGCCCCTCCAGGCCTGTGCTAAGTCCTGACCCTGAGTCAGAGCCGAGGCGCGGGCAGGCCGCTCTGCCACGGCCCCCCAGTGGGAGGGGTCAGGTGACAGGCCAGGGCGCGCAGAGTGTGCCCTCGGGTGGCCTTGGAGCAGTGCCGGCCCAGCGCCAAGCCCTTCCGAGGCCCGGTCAGCACCCAGTGCTGCCTCTGGCCCGCCCGCCTGGCCCCGGGTCGGGCCTGCGCTGGCTCCACGGCCTCAGCCTGGCGGGGCCGGTGCTGACCCCGGGTTGCTGGCTTGGCCGCCAGCCCCTGCCCTCCGTCTCACTGCTGACACAGGGCTCCCGGCTGAGCTGATGGACTTAGCAGGGCGGCGCGGTGCCTGTGCTGAGCTCTGCTGGACCGGGGCCAGGATGGACTTCTCGGGCTGCTCCCGGGGCACCGCTCACCTCCCACGCCCGGCTGGGCCCTCCAGGGGTGGTGGGGAGGCGGGGCGGGGCGTGTGCCAGCACCTGAACCCCCTCGCGCCTGGATCTCTGCCTGGGAAGTCGCTGGTTCCGCAGCCTGCCTCCCGGAGCCAGCCGTAAAAGGATGACTCGATGGATCCTGAGGTTTGCAAACCATGTTCCCCGGGGCCATTCAGATGGAGACTCCAAACAAGACTTGGCCTCCAGCTGCCTGTGGGGCCCGGGGCTGGGGGGCAGCGGCCTCTGCTTCCTCCTTGGTCCGCCGCGGGGATCCTGGCCGGGAACTCCCCGCACGCTGGGTGCAGGCTCAAGACGCCCCCGTGAGGCGAGCCGACCCTGGCCCACTTCGCTCTGTGGATGAGGTCGTCCACCCCGCCGCGGGTGCCTGGTGATCCCTGTGGGGGTCAGCACCTCTTTGCCTCCGCGTCACCGGCTGGGGTTTGTTTTTCCAAATCAGAACCAGTTACTGCTTGCGACTCCGTGAGGACCTGCCCAGAGCCCGTCGGGATGGATGGGGACCAGTTGTGCCCTGGCTGCCGCAGGTGCTGGCGGGCTGGGAGACGCGTGGGCCGCCGGGTCGGCCCCGGGGCCGGCTCCAGCCCTCTTTTTTGTGTTTGTTTGTTTCGGGGTCTTTTTTTTTTTTCCCTCGCTCACATTTTCCAGCCTGGCTTTTGGAAAGGGCGCGAATGACTCAGAAATCCTGCAAACACAGCAGCGCGAGGGCCACCGGGCACGCACTTGACCAGATGTCCCGTCGCTCCTGGGGTCTGCGTGTGGGGACCGCCCCCCGAGACCCCCTGCCAAGGCCCCCTTCCCAGCCAGGCTCAGGGATCTGTGTGCTGTAGGATCTGCGGATGGGATCACACAGCACAGCTCCAGGATGGCATGAGGGAGGGGCTTCGGGACCCTAGCAGCCCCTCCCCCAGGCCCACCAAGTGCCTAGCCCAGGTGTGGACCTCGGGGTGGTAGGAAGGGCTACAGCTTCCACTGTTGGCTGGCCCTCGCTTACGTCTGCTCCCCGTCCCCCAAACTGCAGAAGTACGGTGACAGTGACACAGGCCCGGAGCCCAGCAGTCCCGGCCTCTCCGGCCACAGTTCCTGCAGCAGAAACCGCAGGTGTAGACAAAAGCCCAGCTCAGGCTTAGCCAGCGATCCAGAGGCAGAGTGCAGAGCTGTGCCCAGGTTCCACCACTCCCAGCGTAGGGACAGACACGCCCTGTCCCTGCAGGGCGCACGGGGCCGGGGACCACTGCTGGACAGGGGTGCAGGTGCAAGACCGGCTGTTGCTCAGCCCCGCTGTACAGGGAACCGAGACCTGGGTGGTGCCGGGGCTCCCTCCCGACTGTGGCAAGCACAAGGCAGGTCTGGCCCAGAGGCAGGCCAGGGACAGGGGAGCCGACATGGCCTCGGTCAGGGCTGGGGGTTCCCGCTGGGCCCACGGGACTGCACCTGGACGAGGCAGGGAGGTCGCAGAGGCCGAAGGTGGAGGCAGGCGGGGAAGCAGGGCCCGGGGCTGCCTGTGGGTTGGTGGAGGACAGCGGCTCCGCCGTGCATGCCATTTAAGTGGGGGCTTGGGGCTGGGGGTGGCGCGGCGAGCTCCGACCAGCTCAGGCAGACCGGGATGCGTGTGGGAGGCCAGAGGGCCGGGGCGAGAATTCCAGACGATGGAAGGAGCGCGCTGGGGTCTGGCCTGATGTCCTGAGATGGAAGCTTCCAGAACAGCCTGTCCAAGCGAAGCCTCTGCCATCCCATCGGGATCCCGCCTGTCAGACTGGGCCTGAGTGACAGCTGAGTCCTCACAGGCCCCGCCCATCACCCATGGATGGGGGGCCACCCCTCTCCCCGTGTCCGGATCCGAGGCGCCCAGCGCCGGCTTCCCCTGGGACGAGGGCGCTGTCGTGACAGGAGGTCACGTGGAGGGCGTGGGGCGGCTGCTGTCCTCCCAGCCCCCTCCCCGTCCCTTCCAGGGCCCTGCTGCCTCCCCCCCAGGTCTGCTCAGGCTCCTTCTGTGGGAGGGGCCGGGAGGAGCTGGAGGGAGCTAGGTGTGGGGGGTGGGTGGGTGGGTTTCAGTCCCCCAGGTCCCTCCCTGCGGGTCTGTGTCTGCCTTCTGACAGGTGGCCCCTCCCCCACACCTCCTCTGCTCACTGGCAACCCCTGCCCCATCCTCATGTCTCAGTGCTGACTGCCCTCTGCTGTGGCCAGCCCTGGGGTCCTGTACTGCCCGTGGCTTCCTCCATCTACCCAGCCCTGCCCCGCCCTGCCCTGTGCCCCCCCAGCTCCGGGCCCCCCCTGCCCCGCCCTGCCCTGCCCTGCGCCCACCCACCCAGCCCTGCCCTGCCCTGCCTGTGCCCCCCCAGCCCCGCCCCGCCCTGTGCCCCCAGCCCCGCCCCCGCCCCGCCCTGTGCCCACCCAGCCCTGCCCTGCCCTGCCCTGTGTCCACCCAGCCCTGCCCCTGCCCCGTCCTGTGCCCCCCCAGCCCCCACCCTGCCCTGCCTGTGCCCACCCAGCCTGGCCCCCACCCTGCCCTGTGCCCCCCCAGCCCAGCCCCTCCCTGCCCTGTGTCCCCCCCAGCCCAGTCCCTCCCTGCCCTGTGCCCACCCAGCCCCGCCTTGCCCTGCCTGTGCCCACCCAGCCCCGCCCCACCCTGTGCCCCGCCCTGTGCCCACCCAGCCCCGCCCTGCCCGTGCCCCCCCAGCCCGGTCCCCGCCCTGCCCTGTGCCCCCCCAGCCCTGCCCTGCCCTGCCCTGTGCCCCCCCAGCCCGGCCCCGCCCTGCCCTGTGCTCTCCCCAGCCCGGCCCCCGCCCTGCACTGTGCCCACCTGGTCCTGCACCTGCTCCAGACAAAGGTGGCAGGTGTAGGACGGGCAGGCTTGGGACTGGGCAGGTGCAGGGCGGGGCAGGTCCCAGGTGATGGTCAGGATGACACGGGGTGAACCAGGGCCGACCCCCGGGGCCCCTCCCCCAGCCTGGCCTGGTGGCCGCGGGGCAGCACTGCCCTGAGCTCTGCTGTTGGGCAGGTGCAGTTACCAGCTTTTGCAGAAGGGGAAACTGAGGCACAGCAGGCTCGGGGGACTTGAGAGACTGCGGGTGAGTGGCACGGCAGCCTGGACCCCAGACCTGTGCGACCTCGGGCCACGTTCAGCATTTGCCCAAAACCACCACAGGGCGCAAGGTGAGTGACACACGTGGCCGTGGCAGCCAGGGGCTCGAGGCCACCCGGGGGCCTCTCTGCAGGGGCGGCTCTGTCTCCAGTCAGGTGGCGAGGAGTGGACCCCAGTGGACGGAGACGGATCCCAGAGCCGGGCGGTGGCTGCGGGTGACCTGGGCAGCGCAGTCCCGGCTCATCTGTCCCTGATGTGAGCGCCCCACCCCACCAGCAGCCGTGCCACCCACTCATCCTGCAGGCTGAGCCGTGATGTCAGCAGGACCGGGACGCGCAGCCGAGGCTGGGGGTGCGGGGCGGGATTTCCTGGTGGGCCTTGAGCCGACTTTCCGGTCTGACTCACCTGGGGAAGCCGCCCCCCGAGCAGCCCCCCGGGAGGCCCACGGGCAGCCCCCCGGGAGGCCCACGGGCACCACAAACCCCTCTCAGGAACACCTCAGCTCCTTCCAGGAGCTCCTGGGGGCCTCTGTGCTGCTGCCCCCCCGGAGCCCCACCACCCACACAGGCGCCCAGAGCTGGCCGCCCGCGCCCCCTCCTCCTCGCGGACACAGGGGCGGCCAGGGCGAGTGTCCAGGGAAGCTGGGCTTGAACCCAGCACAGGCCACTCCTGCCCCAGGGCCTTTGCACTGGCTCCACCCTCCACAGCACCGCGCCCCTGCCTGCTTTCCTCGTCCTGGTAGCCGGTTTCAGAAGAAGCTTCTCTCCTGTCTGCAGGGTCGTCTCCCTCTTCCTCGCTGCCAGGCGGCACCCCCCCCGCCCCCGCCCAGGCTGGGTTTCCTGTTTCCCTGCGAGGCCAACTCCCCTAGGATGCACTTGTCCGAGCAGATATTTGGAGGAAGGGAAAAATGGGAAGAGAAAGAACCAGGAATCTTGCTGCCCCCTCCGAGGCCTGGCCCAGGGCCCCGCAGCCCTCGACTTCCTGAGCCACAGAGCTGGCCTGCCTGCCGCGGGGGCCAGGCCGGGCGCGGCCCAAGGCTGATGGCCCGGGAGCGCCCTGGCTCTCTCCAGCGGCGTGGCTCCAGCTCGGGCTTCTCACCCTGGCCCCTCTCTGGCCATCCTACGCCGCCTGTTTTCCGGGGCTGCGGGAGGGGCCCAGGGCGGGGCTTGGCCGTGGCTGCACCTTTGTCTTGAACAGACTCTCATTCCGCCGCCTCCCCCGGGGTGGAGAGAAGCGTGGCTCACTGTGGACGGGCCCAGAGCCGGCCGGCGAGCAGCTGCCCGGTGTGGGAGCCGCGGGGGCCGGGACTGTACCCGGAACCCCAGCTGGTGACAGCGGCGCCGTGTGGCCCTTCAGGGGCTGAGCGGCCCTCGTGGGCCAGGCCCCTGCGTCTCCACACACCTACAAGGGGGGAAACTGAGGCTCCTGGGTCCCATACAGGTGAGCCACCCCCACACAGGTGAGTCACCCCCCCACACACAGGGGAGCCACACGCTGCCTCTGGCGAGAAGCGTGCCCGCGGCTCCGTCTCCCAGAGGCCACGGCCCGGGCCCCAGCTCTGGCCTCCTCGGCACTGGAAACCCGCAGCGGCCCAGTCTCGGACGCGCGCACAGAGCGAACCTACGTGAAACACGACGCGACCTTGCTTTCAGAACCCGGCTTTTCCCAGCCGCGTGGCCTCGCCGAGGTGCAGCCTGGGAGTCGGGGCCACGGCAGGGCCTCCTGAGGGGCCGTCTCAGCCCCGCACGGCCGAGCGGCACCCCGGTTCCAGAGACGCTGCCAGGGGGCCGGGCGGGTTTCCTAG